GACAAATTAACATTTATATGCATTTTTTAAAATGTATTGACTTATTTCTACGTTAATTTTATCGATACGCTTATTCTTTCAACGGATCTATTTCATAATTGCATTTAAATTAATGAATTTCATTAAAAATGCATACAAATGTTAATTTGTCACTAGCCCGTGCCGCATTTCCGCGCAATTCTTGGCTCCATGTAATAGGAGGAAAAAAATACAAGCGGCACGGTTCGAATTACTAGTTATCCGGCAGATCGGTTTGGACGGCAAAGTGTTTTAAATTAACTCAAGTTTATGCTGTGTATACTGCGAACTGTCAACAGAAAATAATTTGGAGTTCGAGCTTTGTGAGCAAAAAATATACATTTGTACATCAGTGAAAATCATTATTTCATCATGGAGATTGCACATATAATGTTAATGGTGATGATTATGTTATTAAAGCAAGCGAGGAATCAATCGAAGAGATATGCAGAAATTACAATGCAGAAAGTTATGACTATGTTCTATATTTACATTTGCTACAAAGAATTGGAAGATGAGCGAAATCCACGTCTAATGTGGTAAGATATATCTTTCTGAGCAAGAAGATTTTGCAAGGTGCCAGTGATAATTTAATCGTTGAGATGCAATTGTTAGATGAACAAAAATATTTTAATTATCTACGAATGTCTCCATCATTGTTCAATAAATTATTGGACCTAGTTGGCCCTCGCATTGAAAAGCAGAAAATGATTCGTAATCCAATAGCAGCTCGAACAAGATTACAAGTGACTCTATGCTGGTTAGCTAGTGGTGACAGTATGACATCATTGTCGTATGCCTATCGCATTGCCCAATGCACAATTTCGCACATTATTTCGGAAACATGTGAAGCAATTTGGCTCGCTTTAAAAGACAAAGTTTTTCTTGTTCCCAGTGAAAAAAATTGGCGCCGAGTAGCAGACGAATTTGAAACGACGTGTCAATTTCCACATTGTATAGGTTCTATCGATGGAAAGCACGTTATCATTCAGGTATATGATATGTGTATATATAATACATTTATACAGACTTGTTACATTAGCAATCTGATAATGTAAATGATATTTGACCATTACAGGCACCAGCTCGCAGCGGCTCATTATTTTACAATTATAAAGGAAACCACAGTATCAACTTACTCGCAATAAGCGATGCATTGAATCGCTTCCTCATTGTTGATATCGGAGCTCAATGAAGGCAAAGCGATGGAGGTGTCTTTGACAACAGTGGATTGCCTCATTTATTTCAATCAAATACATTGTGTATTCCTCGACCTATGTGTATCAGTTCTACTGCCACAGAGTTTCCATTCGTACTTGTAGGAGACAAAGCTTTTCCTTTGAATACATATATAATGAGACCGTATCCTCGGAGTCGCAGTCTAAATACAAGTAAAAAATTTTATACCGCT